GCATGTTTCATTATATAATATAGACAAGTTTCGTTTATTTATTTTAAGTAAATCCTTTCATATTGTCTGATAAACTAACATTATCATTGAAAGACGAAAGGAAATCACCATATTGATACATGTTTAAATCCAATCTAGGCTTTCGGCTTACATCAGCCATTATCAAAGATAACAATTACTTTTCAATATATCAACCAATACACAGATCTCAACTGAGATTCTCTATAACCATATCCAATCCTCCTAATAATTTCTATCACTTATATATCATTGCTTGAACCGGCTTCTAATGCTCAAGTTTGAACGGCTTGTTGATAGTAGTGTGGCTCCTGGGGGCACAGTCCTATGGTTATAGAGAATCTCAGTTGAGTTCCACCACGGAATATGTGAGCGAGCGGCGCTATATTGAGTCCAATTTGCTACATCTTCGTCATCGAAGCCCGTAGAAACAGTTTGTATGACGTTTTCATGATAACCTGTCAGGCTTTCAATTCTCGGTAGTGTATGCGCACTGCTGATGAGTCCCAAATATAGGACGAAACGGCCCTCCAGTGCTTTCTGCATTCTGTTGAGGTTTCTTTCAGACTCGATATATATATATATATATATATATATATATTTGTGTATATGTGTAGGAGTTCATGATCAGACCTTCGAATGTTGATAGAGGATCGATCGATACTTTATATTGGATGCAGATCACACTCTAAATAACGTTCATATTGTTATTGGTAAATTGAGCCTCGGAAAAGCAGCCGGACAGGATGGATTCTATGCTTAGATTTTTCGGTTTGGTGGCTACCATCTTGTCGATATAGTCATGCAAGACATCTGGGTTGCTAGAGAGGTCCAACAGGATTGTTGAGACGCGGCTAAGATACTTTGGTACAAAGGTAAGCGTAACCGCGAAAACTTCGGCTACTTGATAGGTATTACTCTCCAATTTACATCATGGAGAATCCTGTCGGGAATATTGTTGTCTAGGCTCAACTGTCAGATCTCTAGTAGAACACTTCCAGAATTACAGGGTGGGTTAAGATCTTTATAGCATGTCAGATCCAACAAAAGCGATTTGAACAGCGTCCGAGTATGTACATGTATTTCGATCTCCCAAACGCTTTTGATACAGGCCATAGGAAAGCAATCTTGCTCATCCTTGGATAACTTGGCTGTCCCTAGAAATTAGTCAAGTCTTTTCATGGTATGGAGGAATGTGGAAGATATATATATCAATACCAATAAATGGAGCTAAGCAAGCTGATTATGTTACCCCCCTGCTATATTCTCCATCTTTTTACCATTCTACTGATTGATGCATTCTATGATTGCAACCAAACTATCTACTGGGTTAAACAGCAAAATTGTCCAAATCGTGTAACAGCATAGGATAAATGTCCATCCCAAAAAATGTTTAATATCCTAAAAAAAAAAATCCCTAAAAAAAACCCACTAAACTAATTGAGTTTCTTTTTCCAGGTTTTCAGATAAGACATTTAGCCATCTTGACACCATTTGTCGTAAGAATCACCGAAAAACCCTTTGAACTATTTAGCTAGAATGATAAATGTTAAAATCATTTTGTGTCAACCCCGCTATATTTTCGAAACTGAGCAATGGTGAGAGGAAAAAGATCATTCAGGCCTTCAATAATGGTACCTACATCCATACTCTGGCTTCCATCTTCAAAGTCCATTCAAGAAGCATCAAAAGAACGGTGAATAAGTTTTAAAAAAAGTAGGAACAGTAGAGAAGAAAACTGTATCAAGAGGTCACAACAGCAAGAGAGGTCATCATTTCAACTTGGAGCTAAATACATTCTTATTGTTCAATAGTGTCCTAAAAAATTCGGAGAATTCCAGTGAGATATCTTTAATCATTTCTAAGATACAACGGTTCAAAGCTCAATCTAACAATTGGACAATTTACACGATTTGGACAGTTTTGCTGTTACATCCGGTACGTAAAGTATCGTAAAACCGGTAAGCTCTTTAATATATGCGACTTTGCAGCTAAAACGAAAGGCCTGTTGACATTTTTCGTAATCTCTCAATACTGATGACCGCGATTCTAAGGATTGCTTCGCTATAAAGATTAAATAAATCCCGCAAGAAAACGCAACTTGTCTTGTGACCGTTTCTGGATCTGTGTACTTGCACAGTTTCTTTTTGGTTTTTTGGGTTTTTTTTTTTAATCGCGTTCACCCCGAGTAAGGAACTGAACCACTAAGAGACAAGGGTTAGTTGGCGTGAAAGAATTAGAAAAGAGAAACATTACTAATAATCGAGAAGAATAGAAGAGTAATCAAGAAGACAGTAGATAGCGATTGACATTGCATTTAAATTTTTGAGTGCAAAGTATGGAACCGCAAGAGAGTTCCACAAGCAAGAAGTGCGAGAAAAGAGACTGTTAGCATAGAACTTACGGTTTCATCCAGCCAACACAACTGTCAGTTAATGTGACATCGTTGCCAGTCTCATACTGTGCTATAATTCATAAAGTC